TATATGCCTTTGTAGTGCTTGCTTATAAACTAAATCCAGAATTAGTTTAAGAAGAACAATCCTTTATTAAAGCACAAGGCCAAATCGTTATGGAAGCTCAGTTTCACTCCTGTCACATGAAACCTTACAGATTTTGCCTGAAGTGGGCATTATTTGACAATGGCCTCTCAAAGCACAAAGGGAGAATGGTGGCTGTCTCTCTCTCAGATGATAATCTGACATGAGACCAGACGCAGAAATAAAAAGCATATTTTAGATGTGAAGTTCACATAATAGAAAAACAAGTTGTCTCTCTTCCAGTCATACAATAAGCATCATTCATTTGGAAAGGTCAGTATTAATTAGCAAATCCAGCAGGGATATTCTGTCAAAGGCTTTTTTGTGCATCTGATTGTTCTCTCTTGCAGATGAAAGATAATCCATATTCAGTTAGAGGTCTGAAAGCTGTCTTGTCTCTGAAATTCCAACCTCCTTTAAGCGATGGGTAAATATAATTACTTTAATTTTAAAAATTCAACACGTTCAAGTAAATTATCCTTGATTTCTGTTTTGGCTGCTTCCACACTTCCTATTTCTTAAGTTTAGAATCAAAGGTGAACTCAAAAAAACCACGCAGATAACCAAACTGAGTTACATACCAGACTGACAGGCATTTATCCTTGGTGAAGGGCTGGCATTTCTTTCACACCTCAATTTCAAATAAAAAAGTAGAAAAACACTCTCAAGGAAAAGAGATATCACCACCATCTTTGGGTCAGAAACCAAACCCCAAATTCACTCTGCATTGCTTCAAAGACCATTTTATACTTTTAAGATATTGATTTTCTATCCCATAGAATTGGGAAGGCACCAGCTGAAGTGCTTTGCCTATTTCGGGGACAGTCCAGAGAAGGCTGTCACGGTTGCCTGTCATCTACAGATGCTTCTTCCGTCAAAGGTAGGGGAGCTCTACACAGCTCCTGTTATAGACCCAGATGTCAGAAGCTTGTGATGTCTGTATGGAGGATGGAAAACACAAACTAGCATCAACAGGAGCCAACTGCATTATGTAACTTCAAAGTTTGTATTTTAAGGAGCATCACAGCAGAGAGAGCAACAAGCTTGACACTGCAGCTCCTTCTTCCATGAAGTACTTTGTTTTAAATTTTGCACATGGGAATGGATAATTAGAAATGCGGTTTAGTCTCCAAATATATATTAAGAAATGAACACTAAAAAAAACGCTTAAAGCAACATACAGCATTTAAATAGATTACAACTTCTAAAGTATGCAATGACTTTAAGACATTAAGGCTATTACACAGAATATCAATAAGAGTTATACTCAAGTGACTTAAATTTCCATGCTGTAGTTTCTATTTACCTCTCAACACTGAATTTAATAATTTTGATGAATTCCTGGAAAAACTCTTAGGTTTTTTCCGACTTCACATGCTCAGGCTCTGTTTTCTTTTGCTGACTGCTTCATTGAAAACAGCCGTATGTACCCATCTAGTCTACAAGCTGTTTTGAAGAATGATATTATCTCTATGCACATATAAAAGGAGCTCTGAACATAATATTAGCAGGAAAAGATCAAAATGAAAGTAGCAGCTGGCTATTAATGGAATAGTTGCATATGATACAGCTGTAAGTATGTTTTAGTCAGGATGCTCTTGCTGCAACATTATCCTTATGCTCGTCTTCCTTGTCACCTGAAACTCTTGCATGAGAATTGATGGAATTTGGGGTAGGAGTACTTCTTTTATTTCTTGGATGTTCCCAGTTAACTACTCTAACGAGGATAGTTTTGCAGCTTTCAGCTTGCCTTGTTTTGCTGCTGATTTCCCATATACTGCCTTCTTTCTACACTGCATTGCCATGCATGATGCCTGAAAAACACCACAAAGATGACCTTTGGGTGTTTTGCCCCGTACATTCTTTAGATGAAAGTTTCCATATTATTTAAATTAATTCCCTATTTCTTGCTGCTTAAGTCTTACTTTCATATCTGTTTTAAATCTTTGCTATAGACGCATGGACTGCAAGAATGCCTTCTTCCTTATTCTCATTCCTCTAATATTCTAAATAAGGAGGGATATTCATCTCTTTTTTCACCTCTCCTCCAGAGTATTTTGATGGAGTTCTCTCCCACTACTTGTGAAGTCTGATAATAACATGGAACACTATTGTGTATGTATCTCCCCTATGGTTACAGATCGGGCTTTCCAGATATCCATTTGTAACGGCCACATATGTTTTGCTTCTGATTGCTCTCCCAGCATTGTATGATCTATTAAAGAGGTGTTATAAGAAGCAGTTTCAGGTAGTCTGTTAGAAAAACAACACATTTTATCACACCTTATCAGTACCTCAATGACCGTTTAAAACTCAGCTACTGATCTGATATTTGTTCAATGCCTTATGGCATTTGGTAGTCTGAGATTATTTTTCTAAGGGACAGAGGTCCCCATCACAACTCATCACACAAATTGACAGCTTGCTAATAAATCTCAGCATAGGCACCAAGGATGAGTAGATATGGAAGAAGTCTCTTGTCTCTTCCATGTCGGAGCCATAAATGATTTCTAAGCAAAACCTTGTGGTGATGCTGTCTCTAATGCCGAACAGAGAGGTTTTGTCACTGAGTTTAGCAAACCAAAAATCTTCAAGAACATTATAATTTATTAACATCCTGTGTCAGTGACTTACACTACAGATATTAGTATGTAATTTATTTATACAGTATGGCACAGTAATTATTCATGCCGCTCTCTAGACTTGTACAAATGGAAGGGCCCTTCCCCCCAAACCTGCAACTGATTTTAGCCCTGAAAAAGGAGTCCCAAAAGTTCACAAGATATAAAAATATACCTGGATGCTGAGTCTAAGTTTTACATCGGATCTTTTAACTCTAAAAATATGTACATCCATTACAATCTCAGCATCTGAAATACATCACATGGTGATATCAGATTGATTTAATAAAATAGGGCTGAATGGCATATTACGAGGGTTTACAGTGACTAGTAAAGTAATTGTAGCTGGTTTGATTGAGAAGCGAAGTCAGTTTGGGGGAAAGGTGGAAAAGCGAGCTGAGCTAGGAGAGTAGGGGACTGATCGTGGGTATGCACTACATGCAGAGCAACTGTAAAGAGAAATCAGATGCACAATGAAGGTACTAGAGAGGTCAATGATGCAAATACTTATTTCCCAGACTGATTGTTTTTTATGACATACTCTTCCAGGTAGTTTTGCTTGCCTCTGAGGACTAGACTCAAACCACTCCAACCAGCAGTACACAGGCCTATTCTTTTTAATGCTTTGGAAGTTCTTCCACTGCTGTATCAGTTTTGTATGGTACATGTGTGTGGAGACATACTCAGCTTCTCAATAAGCTTGATGTGAGTTCAGTGCAACAATGCTACCTTAAATGGCTATTTTCTAACTCACGGATCTGGAAAATGGGGTTTAATCAATGACCATTAGACCTTGCGCTCCCTTCTGGCATAAAATGCCTTCTTTCATCCAGGGTTACTGCATTGTTGTTTTAATAAGTTACGATTGGCGTTTGTGCTGAGCTACATGGAGGCCTTATTAGCAGGAAGAAATGAAAGTACTACAGAACAAAACAATTAAGTGGGACAGGATAACTGACAGCAATGTACCAGATTGTGTCATGCTCGCATTTCACTTCATGGTATTGAATTCCTCCTACAAGTACAAGGGGCTACAGCTAACAAAGGCAAAACACTTCTATCCTTAAGATGATGTCCTGAAAGGTTTTTTTCTATAATTGCACACCACGTCCTAAGAGGTTCTGAGCATATGCACTTTTCCTTACAGCCAAAAGGTCTAGTCATAGGCTCTTTACTACATTTATTTAATAATTGTGCACTAAATCTATGCACCATTTACGTCTCACTCAAGTCTTTAAACCTTCACTAATAAAATCTACCTACCTCAAAAGGTTCAAGTAGGAATTGATTCGCATAAAAACTCTTAAGCGCTCCTGACAACAAGAGAATTTCTCCTGAATTTCCTTCCCAATGTTTCAACATTAAAAAGAAAACCGAAGACCCAATTCTATGCAATGAAAGTGTCCTGAAGGTGGCTAAAGTGGAGCCACCACAGTTCAGTTTAGGTTCTCCCCTCCTCATAGGAACCAACCACATGACACAATGCCTTTCTCTGGTGGTCTTCAGTCTTGGAAGATCAGGAATAAACAGGTTGTTTCCACAAGGCAAAGTACCTAGGCTTGCCAGGTTAATGGAACCATACTTGGTCTTATCTAGACTATATAGAGCTGATAGTAAGACATTACAAACATGTATTTTCCTTCATACTTCATTTCAAGAACAAAGCCAGGCATTTTAACATTATACTTCCTCATTCTTTTGTAGATTTCAGATATGAACTGTCAAGAATTGCTGGCTCTGTTACAAAGTGTCACAAGCTACATAAAATCACTTTAGTACAGATGACACCTTCTACATCAACACAGCATCTTCCCATCCCTCTTAATATTATTTATTGCGTTATTCCCTCTGTATCTGTAGAGACGCATTATTTTAAAAGTACATATAGGGAGTGCTGGGCTAAAGTTTTTATGACTGACATTTTTTAATCCAGAAAATGGATTCAAAGTTTTGAAGGCAGTTTAAATGACAAAATTTACTTGCTGCAGTGTTCAGAACACTAGTTGTGTATTCAAAACAGTATGCTCATCACCAACCCAATATTTCCTTTGTTAGAAATCATCTCTCTTTTGCTAGAGTTGTGTGTTCTTCACTGAACCTTGCAATAAGGACCACAAGGACAACCAGCCATAGACATGACTCTTATCAAGTTCATAGATAATACTTGTACAGATGAGAAAATCTTCTTCCTTTTGCTGTTTTCTCCATTTAACTGCGCCTGAAACTGAGAAGCTAATACAGCGGGGTATGCACACATCTACATGCCATCCATGAATAATATGACTTTAATGACATCGGGGGCTCAATGAAGTAAGGACTTACGCTTGGAATGTTTGTCACAGAGAGCCGATGCCCTCATGTCACAGAGTCTCAGGGATCCTTTGCTGCTGCTGTAGACAAAGAGATTGCAGTGATGGGGATGAAACTCAGAGGCTGTAATCACTTCCGTCAGGTCCTCCATATTGGCTGGCTTTATATCTACGATGTCTGAATGGAAGTTTCATTAAGGAAAATGCAGTTGTATGCAGGTAGACCATGACTCTTACTGCCTTTTGAAGGAAGCATGATTATCTAAATGTCCATACATTTAATGCTCTTAGATACAGACTCGTTTGTTTGGCAGTAGGATACCTGCCCCATCTACACCAAACTCAAAGAGCCACTAGTCAACCACTGTTTTACAACAGATATCATTAGCAGTTTGACTTAATAGCCTCAAACAATAAATGTTGGGTTGGGGTTTTTGCAAAGGCAAATAAATGTGGCAAACAGAAGGATCTATGCAAACAGTTTTGTATGAATATGTACTAATATAATATCCTTTCTAAAAAAAATACTGCCCAGTATTGGTTTTGCTATTTGAGTACTTGCAAAAGAAGTATCTGAAATGGCATTCTTGGTAGTTTATGTAAACAATGCTCACTACTAGGTAAACAATGCTCACTACTGAAATCAATATGAATTTCTGTCCCTGGGAACTGTACATCTAAATCATTTAAGTGGACATATCCAGAACAAAAAAAAAAAAAAACCACATCAAAGATCTAGTTTCCTAAGCACACACCTGTCTGCTGGATCACCACAGACTATACACACGAAGTACAGCTCACATAGTGCCTCCTCAACACATACACATGCACTCATACATATTACCTGCCTTGATGAGCTTAAAAACCAGGACCCAATTAGTATGCATTTGAAGGAGAAGGACAGCCTGTGGAAGATTGCTTCTAAAGAAAAGAATGAAAGAAAGAATCCCACAAGGGGGCTGTAAGAAAGCAGTAGGTATAGAAGTATAAAACAAAAGAAGGATATATATGTAAAGCAGTACATTTAAATAAGATCATACATTTTCATAGGGCCCTCAGCAATCCGCTGTAGATAAGCCATCCAAATGTTAACAAATCCTTCAGACAAGAAGAAGAGTAACATTACCCTATTTTACTGATGGGGCTGTGCGAGAGGCAATAACGGATTTGCATAAGATCACACGGGAAATGCATGACAGAGCAAGCCCAGATCTACTGAGTCCCTGTTCAGTGCCCTAAACACAAATCAGCTCAGTGCCTGGAATCCCCAAACATAAAATTTGAATCAGTTGACGTTCAAAAGTTAAACATCTCAGAGGATAAGATAAATGAGAAAATCTGTTTTACTGATGGCAAGAGAAATCATATATCATGATGCTAAGCCTGCTCCTGTTCCCACTGTGCCCACTTCCCAAATGGAAGACCTTTAATTGATTTCTGTGGGAATGCAGTACAATCTATCACCACCTTTACACTTTGTACTTTGATCTTTCCCAAAAATGCATATCTGGGACATTATACTGAAATTAAACACAGTACAGAAGATTCAGTGATAATTATCTTGATGACTTTACAAAGACATATACATCACAATGTGGGTTTTTTTACACTTAGTCGTTTAAGAAAGGAAAATATCAGAAAAACTATTAATATCTTCTGACATTTAATAACTGGTAATGATTAATATTGCATTTCAACTGTATATGCACTTACTTGCAAAAATCACATTTGCATCCATCTCCAAGAATTCTTCATGACTAATATCAGTGAAATAAATGTTAAGTTATCGCAACATTAATTTATCCCTTTTCTAAAGCATCACTAAATATTCTTGAAAATCTACAGGAAAAAATAACCTTTATTCAGTTATTTGTGTTCAGTGAATCTATCTCAAGAAATATTTCTAAGTAAAAGCAATTGCTTTCAGTGATTGAACTGCTTTCAGTTCAGAGGAATTATAGTAACTCAATGCAAGAATTTCACTTCTCAGCAGAGATGAATAATTGTTGAGTGATGAGAAAGATATAAAATATAAATAGAGTATGTGAAACAGTCATGGTAAGTATCATTTTTCTGGATGCTGAAGACAATATTGATGAATTTCTCTTCATTGCATGAAATGAATAACCCTATGCGGAACAATGAAATTAAATATTCCATTCTCTTGCCAGAAAAGTAGAAAATACTTGAAACACACTGCATTTCCAGATGTGATCTAAATCTCCACTGAGAAAGAACCTCACTGCCTACTGAGGATCACAGTGAAAATGCAACACTGAAAATTCATCATTTCGTTAGATTTAGAAAAAATAAAACAATAACACTTGTATTGAAGTAAACAATCAAGAGAATAGAGTTGCAGAAGGGATTTACCCCAAATGCATTCGTAATAATAGATTGAAAATCAGCCTTTGCTTTGACAGCTACAGAACCCAATGTATCAAAAGAACATGTCACACAAAAGAACATTTTTCTCCTCTCATGATTTTTGCCATCTATTTGAAAACAATCAAGTACAGCTTGACATGTGATGTGTGGGAACTGTATTTAAACTAGCATGACATGGTAAGGGCAAGCATTTCCCTTGGGACATTTCACATTTCTATTTTTCTCTCTTCCCTTTGTGCCTTTTTCTTCCTTTTAAGTACAATGTGGCATGGCAGGAAAATATAATAAAATTGGACGAGGCAGTGTGCTTCAGAAACAGGCCCTTTGGTGAACCTGAAAAGCTCAAAGAAGAGGGGATCTGGTAGACTGATTAAGTGAAAATCCCATTGCTAAAGGGAAAAGTATTCTACAAATCTGTAGATGGTTAATAAACGCTAATGGTTTCCCTTGCAGTCATACCTTCTGGAAGGTTGTCTTGAGCAGGGCACGCTCACATTTGAAGTATCAGTCACACCTGTCTCCTGTTGCATCACATGTAATGTGGTTCATTTTCAGAGTGTGGACAAAACAACTAGGACTAAAGTTCTCTAAGAAATAAAGATCGAAGAGTTCATCATTGGCAGTGCATGAGGATATAATTCTGTTGTCCTAAAAAAGTTGGTGCTCCTGTGCCTGAACAAGGCAAGAATTTCCCCTAAGAAACTGAGAGAGATCTTCACACTGCTTTGACTCCCATGCCTGTTTGCCAAGTACGTGGCATTTCAATCCCCGGTAGACACTCATGTTGGGGAATGCTGAACTGGCGCCTTGCCAACGATGGGCTGGAATGCACTGGCAGTCTTTTAATTCATTAACATTAAAACAAGGAACAGAAAATATCTTCCTGATCCCAAAAAAACCAGAACAGATCTGTCCCTTCTAACCCAACTGTTTGTTATCTTTTACACCGGCCTCCCATCTATTTCTTGGCTCACTGAAATGGGATAAAGCTATAAAGAGCCCAACAGGTTTTCTAGATGCTCTCCACAACAAAATGGAAGTGGAAGGTTTACTATGCTTCAAGACCACAACGGTGAGAGATGATGTTCTTATTGTTGGGTTAGCAGAGCTACAAGAGCAGGAGTTAGTTTTGGGAAAGGCAACAAAGATACTCTCAGGCAACATACCTTTAACTTAGGCTAAGAGTGTCTACATTGCTTTCCCAAAACTATCTGAAAATAGAGGTGTAACACAGAACTGAGTGGGCAGGCAGGACAGGAGCTGACAGGGAGAAGAAAGGAGGCTTTATGGAAAGATCTGAGGGAGGGGAGGGAGGGAAGGGAAGCAAAACAGCAGGAGAGGAAGGAAGAAAGCGCAAAAGGAAAGACACCATCTACAATCTGCAACGATATGCGGTGTGAGGGATGCAATCTGAGTACACGATTCAGTTATACAGGATATTTAGTTCTAATCCAGTATTTTGTGCTTCTGCTGTGTAGCTGATATTAAAATGAGGATGACAGGAGGAAGAAGATTTGTTCCACTGCCTCCGGGCCAGAAATAGCCTCCTCTGGGAGAAGTCACTCCACAAAGTTCCTTTTAGTGCAGGTTACAAAGATGACCCTCACCTTGATCCAAAATTCACATTAACCACACTTCTTCACTTGATCAGATACAATATAAACAAGCGTGCTTGCTTTATGCTCATGCCAAAACACATGTAACGACAATGTGGAAAAAACATAGGGTTCCCGCTGAGCAAAAAAGATTCCTGAATGAATTTCCTTGCATGATAACGGAAACATAGCAGTCTCCTCAAAACAGATTAAATTCCCTTTGAAGTCAACAGTATGCATAAAGAAATAGGTGCTTTGTTTTCCTGAAAATGTAGATAAATTCTGTAAGAAATTTCGTAGACAACAAACTTGGAACTCACAAGCTATAGCATATGGAGAACTTCATCTTATATCATTATTTTGGAATAATTTTATATGATTTGAGGGTTCACTGCAAGAAGGAGATAATTTGTATAGTCAGATGAAGGCTACAGGAAAAAAACAACAAAACTGACCCTTCCCTTTATTCAACTGCAATGGAGGACAGAGGCTTCCTTTAGAAAGTCAGGCAGAATTTTCCATAGTGACTTCATAAGAAAACTAAAATTCTCATCTTTCTTATTTCAGCATATGCTGATGTGATACTTCATTTTTACCCCTGCGTGGGACTTCGTTTTTTGCAATTTTAAAGCACTTTCAAAAAATAGCATAACATATCTTCCCAAACCTGGTTGTTCCCTGTGTTTTCCACACAGGTTTGTTCCAGCCCCTAATTTTGTCTGCATCTCACACCTACACTCTAGCCTAGTCCTAGAAAGATTCACCAACTGGCAGATGAAATCAATAGCAATTCATAGAAGCTGCCAGGGCCTCAGTTTAGGGTAATTGATTACTGTGGTCCTGCTGAGGCTCTACATTTTTAATATAAGCTTTTCTCTGAGTGGTTTCCTCTGGTAGCTGTTTAGTGCACAAAATTTTCATTACAAGGAGGGAACTGCGATGCTTACAAATCAAGCTCTCCCAGCTTTCCACTTCCTACATAACGGTTATATCATTCCTATACCATGCACCAGCTGAGGGAGTTAATTCCAAATGGCTACAGTTTTCTTCCAAGTTGTGTACATCAGGGAAGCAGCGACAGAATCAGGCCTCAGTATGCTTGATAACATCATGATGTGATTACATCCATCTTATTATGAAAGAAAGAAGCAAACCCTAACTTCCAAATAACCATCCACTTCCTCCTCATTTCTTA